GCGATGTCTGCAGGCTGCCTGATACTGGCCACTGCAATTTCCATACCTCGAGCCATAGTTCAGGCTTGTTGCAGACCGTGTTACGAGCCGGGCTGAGGAGGGGCGGGCTACGGTTGGGGGACGGGAGGCTGCGAAGGGTTTTTGCAAAATGTGTAGTTTATTTGCAATTTTTTAGCCAAAGAGCTTTGCATTTTTGTTGGTTTTGCTGCCTGGTTTTCTATTTCATTCTTTTTTTTTTTTTTATATATTTTTGTTGCTTTCTGTTCTGAATCTCACTCTTTAGTGGCCCCGCCTCGCACCGCTCCGACCCGCTGGGGCACGCCCCGTTCGCCCCTTGCCGCATGTGAAATTTGTGTTATCGCAGCGCTTGCAGCAGCTGCAGCAGTTGCAATAAAATCAGTGGCAAAGGTTGCAGCAGCTGAGGTCAGTTTGGGGTCCACTGCATGTGTCTGTGTGCGTGTGTGTGTGTCAGTGTGTGTGTGTATGCGTTTTGGTGTGCCAGTTAAATGTGAAGCATTTGCACTAAAAACTTGCACAGTGAAAATTTGAAATTTGCCATTTGTTTTGTTGGTTTGGTTTTCGTTTTGTTTTCCTATTTCGGAGAAGAGAAAAACATTTCTCTGATTTGCATTTAAAAGGTGTGGCAACTATCGGGCTTATGTGCGGGCTCGGGTTATGCCAGGGGTCGCCAGATTTGCAAATGGTTGGCCTCTGCCGCCGTCTCTGCCCCTTCAATGTATCTGTTTGCAAATGAGCGCCCCGCACATTCACAGATAGACAGAAGGGGCAAATAGAGCGGTCGGGAGTGAGTGAGAGGAAGAGAGAGAGCTAGAGTTTTATAGCCTCACACAGTGGGGTCTTAAAACTTGGCTGTTAAGCAAGTAACGCACATAAATATAAGCTCTTAAGCAGCATATATATGCACATAATATATGAATTCCATAGGAAGTAAAAACGAAATCTGAACGCTTAAGCTCATTATTTTAAAGCTAGCTTAAGGCAAGCGTTTCGCTCAGCAGAATTTAAGGTAAATCATGAGGTGTTATCGCCAAATGCACGCCTAGGCAGATAAAAGGGCGATAAGAGCAAGGTAGAATACTTAACGAAAACGTTTCTTGAATCTACTTTTCTATATCCGTAAATCCTAGTTTCGTCTCATATTTCCTACAAGAGATCTATTTTATTTATTATCAATTAACTTTAATTTAGGAAAATGAGCCACGTTTTTCATTAATTAGAACTACCTTTACACTTAATTAAGCTTAAACTATTGTTAAATTGTATAAATTAACTAAAAGAAAATAAAAATGTTGTATTAGACAAAACCAACTTTAGAAAAAACATTGGTTCAATTCAGTTTTAGTCTCGTCTGAGCAGCTATTTCGCTTTGATGTTCGGTTCGTGGTTAATTCGAACCGCTTCATTTGAAAACTAGTTTGCAGCCTTGCTAAGAATGTTTATCATATGCCACATTCTCAATAATTTCTTTATTTGAAATGCTGCTAGAAAAGATATCATTCGACAAAAGTTAAATATGTTTTAATTCCACAAAAGTGTCTCACTGCAAGGGCATTCGGAATTCGTGGAGCTATTCGCTGGCGAAACTTTTACAAAATGAAAAAGAATTGCAAACAATGCAGTGCAACATTTAAAACATACAATAAAATGAAATGCAAATAAAATGTGCCGCTGACACGACAGTGAAAAATAATACAAAATGCGCGAAAAACCAGAGGAAAATATATGTATATAAAAAAAAAAAAAAAGAAAGAAGATATTTGCGCTGGCAACATAAAATTGGCTGGTTGTTCGGGCCATAAATTTCTATATAGACAATATCTGGATGTTGTTTGCGCCATTTCGCCTATTCGGGGGCATTCGTCGGTATATTTTGCTATTGTTGTGATTGTCGCCATTCTACGCAACATGCAACAACTATTAATCATATTGAATGGCTCTGTTCCTGCGCCTGACTGTGTCATCCCGGCTAATCAATCTTTACCGTGTGCCGTCCTCTAATGGCACTGACAACGACAAAGGCAATCTTCCTTTCCGCCGGTCTCATCCCCCCCATCTATTGCGTAGAAGAAAAATGGCCGATAAAGTCATTAACGCCTGGCTGGCCACCTGCCCTGGTATACACGGCAGTCCACTGATCCGGACACGGATACGGACTACACAAGGAGCTGGCCGATGTCTGAGCCGGCGGGCCAGGCCAGTTGCTATTTTGTTTATGGGCGGCGGCGCAAATCTCTTTGCGAAGCCGCTGCTCAATGAGGCGGCAGGCAAAAGCCAAAAGGGGATTAGTTGTAATCAATAACTTGGCCAAGTAGTGTGGAGCCAGGGCCAAGGGCTGACTGGTCGTCTGGTCTGGGGGAAGGGCCAGCTCTGCCCGTCCGCTGTTGTTTGCCTGTCGAAACTTTTGCTCAGGGAAAGAAAGTAAGTGGGAGCTTGGGCGAGGACTACCCTCAATGTGAGCCCTTTGTGTGCGCCAAGTTATTATTATAATTTTTCTTTTTGCAAATGCGGATTAATTGAAAAGTTTGCCATTAGGAATTCGCGCTTGGTTAAGTTCCTTTCGCCTTTGTTTCGAGTCGCAATTCGCCAGACTTGGCTCTCGGCCCACGCCAACGCAAACGCCCACGCCCACCTATGAAATATCCATTTTGTTAGGTGTTTCAACTATTTGATCGTTATGGATTTTGACAGCTTCATTCGCAGTTATGATGAAAATTACTTAAAAGCATTTTGCACAGCGCTGATTTGATTGATGGGCGTTTATGTGCCATGCCCGGCAGCGGAGGCAGGTGTTTGGGGCCGGAGGCATCGTCATTATATTCGCATTATCGACTCGTCGTGGGCGCGGACGCAATGAGGCATCGCAAATGCCAGTTGACGTGCTGGCGGTTGAAGAGCTGACAAAAAGTTGCGCCAATTTGTGTCAATTATCAGGAGGCTGCCAACTCTCCGCTTGCCCCTTGCCCCTTGCACCAACCCCTCCACCCAATCGCTCCATCCTCCGATTGGTTGCGTTTCACCTGGCCGTTGAGTGAAGTTTCGAAATCCGTCGAGAGTTTCGCGGAATGTGGGGCAGCATTTAATGAGAAAACAATGAATATAGCCAAGGCTGCAGGAAAAAACTGCGGCTTTCCGCATGAAAATTTGTTGAGAGTTGCCAGCTTTCAGTTTTTCATAATGTAATTTGAGCCGAAAAAGTGCCAACAGCAGATACGATTGCTTTTTTTCGTGTAGCAGCCAATTTAAAAGTGCAAAGCAATTACAAAAGTTAACTAGAGTTCGAATGTACTTTTTAAGCATTGTATTGCAAGAGCTTTAAGGGCGCATTGAAGCTTTAAGCTGTATTCGTTGTGAGCAGCGGTTCAGCTTTTGGTTAACTCCTTCTACAACACTTTTAAGAAACTTGGCTTGAAAAAGCTTCGAAAGCTCTTGAAAGATTTCTTGTGTGCAGCTCAGAAGCTTTTGGTACACTCGTTTTATTAAAAATAAATGTTTGAAAAGCAAGCGAAATTTAGCTAAAAGCTTTAAGAGAATAGAAGAGCTTTAAGTTGTATTTAGCATGTATTTGTGTTGTATTTTGTTAGAACATTTGTATGTTATTTCGCTTAATTTATGCGCAAATATTTTTAAAGATTATTATGTAAACTCAAAATCAAACTAAAAACATTAAGAGAACAAAAGAGCTTTAAGCTAGCTTTACTATGTAAAGTTCGAGTTGAGATAAGTATAATTGAAAGCTTTAAATTCAAAATAGAGCTTCAAGTCGTAAACACTATATGCACTGTATAAGCTCTAGAATAACACTTTTATTTGCAAAAACTCTTTAAAATGTTTGTCTAGAATAACTGAAAGCTTTCGAAAAATTTATGAGCTTTAAACTGCATTTGCATATAAAATTCCCTATTTTCTGAAAAATGCATATATGCCGAAAAAAAATGTGAAAATCATGTTAAAATCAAATCTAAGGCAAATATTGATGTAACTTTTCAACAATATTCAAGCAATTTACACTGCTCGTTCAGTTTGGCTTATCCTTATTAAGGATTTATGCTTTAGCATGCGTAGAGCCTTGAAGGATAGGGCGGGGGCTGGCACAAAACATTTTGCATATCGTTAATGAAATCCTTGCTGCACACACACCGAATGCAGTCTGAAGCATCTACTAGGCATACTGGGCGCTCATTAAAATCGAAGAGCGTCGAAACAAATCGATTTTCGTTTAGTATCGCAATCAAGAACACAACAATTTTTGTACTCGTGCTAAAAATTTGTTTTGTGCGCTATAACAAGTCTCTGTCAGTCACGCCCCTCCCCCACTTTCCCCCTGGCAAACCTGGCTGAATGGAGAACTTAAAGAGCACTCGAACAGCACTCAGCCGCAAACACACACTCGCACACACACGCACACACACAAACACTCGTTATGCATGTGTGTAAGCTGCTGTTTAAGTGGAGTTTGCCTTGCTGCAGAGAATTTTTGGGCAAAATGTTGGGGTTGTAGGCGCCGCATCGACGTGTCGGGCCATCGTCTGTGCCTTGCAGTACTTGTCAAGATTGAATTTGCCACGGATATATAGTACATATATTCCATTTCTCCAATTTTTTTTTAACAAGATTTTTTTTTTTGTGATGTTTTCTTTTTTTTGGCATTTTTATTGATCAAACAAACTGTGGCAAGTGGCAGCCAGTGAAGGTGTCATTGCTCAGCGGGGCTTATAAGCAGATACTACCTATACACACACACACACACACACACACACACACAGAAATATATATATACAGATATATATATAGTTTATGGAGGGAACACGCGCAGTGCGCATAAATTGCATGATTCGTTTGGGCAACTGTCAGTCGGATTTTTCATTTTCATTATTATTATTACAAGTTGGCAGACATTGCTTTATGGTTCGTACAAAAGAACTAGTTCCGTTTTATTTTCTGTGTAGTGTTTTTTTTTTTGTAGCAAGGGGCTTACTTACCGGACCAAACTGTTCAAAGTAGCTTTTGACATCCTCCAGCGTGGTGGGCGCCGAGAGGCCGCCCACAAAGATTTTCTTCGTTCTCGTCACCATCTGCAACAAAATGAGAAAAAGTGGAAAAATGAGAAAAAAATTGTGAAAAAGTATCAGCATAAATGAACGAATGAGCGCGTAAAGCGCAAATGGCAAATGCTGCTTAATTTAGCTGTAGCCTGGCATTTAAAAATGCATTTATGGTAAGTCGCTGAGCGCGGCGCGCAGGGGATGGTGGGTTGGGGAGAGGAGGGCGGGTCGGTGTTGCCCCAAAGTTATGGCCCGCCAGACTGCGAGGAGCCGTAAGAGTCGCTGCTTCTGTAACTTACGGCAACAACTTTCGCTATGCGTCGGACCATTTTGTGCACTTTATGTAGTAGCCGCATGTGTGTGTGAAGTGTGTGTATGAAACGAGTGTGCGAGCGTATGTGTGTGTGTGTGTGTGTGTGTGTGGCAGTGTGTGCAGCTGGCATATTTAAGCTGACAGTTTCAAGTGCCAACTTTACGCAGTTAGCGCAACAGCAGCACCAAAAATGATGGCGAGGCAAAGATGGCGCGGAGTGTCGAGCCGCACATGTATGTGTGCATGTGTGTCTGTGTGTGAGTGTGTGTGTGAATGTGTAACTATGCAAGTGTGTGTGTATTGCAACGCCAGCCTTTTTAGCCCGCAGGCAAGCGTAAACTGTTAACGTTAAGTGACGGCAGTTAAGCGACAGTGGGGCAAAAAAATATACAAAATTTGACTACAACTGGTTCCGAGAACTGTTTTATTTACAAGCAGCTTTATTTGAAATTGCACTTCCAAACCAATTTAATTTCCTTTACAGCTGCTTCACACAATACGAACCCAAGCTGGTTCCAAGAACTGAATCATTTTGTAGCAATACACGTTATAGCTTGTCTATAACAGGAAATTTCTAAAATAAATGTCTGTAATTGAAGTTCTTCACACGAACTGTTGCGGTTCAGAACTAGTTATATTTCTCTTACGAAGAAACTGGCTGCTAACTAGCTCCAAGAACTGAATCATTTGAAAGCGAACAATATTTGCTGATGAGAAACTTTCTATGAAAAGCAGTTTCAATTGAAGTGCTTGTTCCTGTTCCTAACAAGCTCAACTAGTTCCAAGAACTGAATCATTATGTTGATGAATAGATAGTTTTGGCGAAAGTACGTGTCGCGAACCATTTCAAAACTAGTTCGATTTCTTGTGAAAACTTACAACTTTTTTAGTTCGCATGTCGGTTCAATTGGAAATGAATGAATCGAATGATTCAAATGATTCACTTGCTTTTTGATTGAGTCTAGAGTTAAGAATGGGTTCGTTAAGCACGCTTTTTCTTTTTTTTTTTTTGGTTTTATCATTTCGAAATTTTGCGGTTTTTAAACCCGTTCTTTTTGGCCCCATGGTTGGTTTGTTCCAGCTGTAGGGCCGGATGAAGCTGATGACGCTGATTGCACTGAAGCTTGCAAGCTGCAATTTATGAGCACACAGACAACACGCTGCAGGGCCCGCCTGGGCTGGGGGAGGTAAAGGGGGTGGGAAAGGGGTGTGTGTGTGTGTGTGGCAACAGACGGCTGGGAAAGATGTGGGATACGTCCGTTAAGGAAGCTAACGATATGTAACAGCGGTGCTGATGTTTCTGCTGTGCCAGCAGTAAAATTCATACAATGTCGTAAAATTAAAACACTTGTGTTGTCGCACCAGCTCTCACACACACACACACACACACGCAGGCACACACACACACACGCACAACTACTAGCATAACTACAAAGTTAGTCATGCAGCTTTTGGCAAGGCAAATCGCTTTTGGCCCGTGTTCTGGCCTGGCCTGGCCTGGCTGCCAGCTTGGCCGTCTGCCCCAGAGTCCCACTCTCTCTCTCTCTCTTTCTCCTCTGTCTCTCTCTCTCTGTGTTTGTCTGCGCTGCACTTTACACAGGTTGGGCAAATACAGAGCAGAGTTCGGGGTCTGGCTAAGGGTCTTCCTTGTGGAGCCTGCTCGCTGCAGGCGGGCTGCTAACAATTTGCAAAAAAAAAGTAGAAAAACAAAGCGTGGAGAAAAAACCGTCAAGTTGAGTGCGCTGCAAGAAAGTAACAACATGACGTCCAAGACAACGTTGAACTCCGACTCCGGCTCCGGCTGCGACTCCGGCTCCGGCACCGTCTCCGGCTGTGGCTACTGCTGCTGCCGCCGCCGGTCATCAGACATGACGCACAAAATTGCAGCGTTGTTAAAAAGCGATTCGAAACAGCGTCCGCCGCCAGCACTTTGTTGTTACTTGGCTCGAGTCGAACGCTAATCACTGCCAATGAGGCAGCTACTTAAACTAATAAACTGGCTAGCGACCGGACTCGTCCTGCGGCCGGTTGGCCTCGCAATGTCATCATCAAATATATAAATGAGAGAAGGGGTGTTCGCCTGTGTTTGGGTGGCATCAGCGATAGCTCGAAACACGCCCAGCGCTGATAGCGCGGCATGAATCAAAAACAAAACACACCCAGCCGAAAAAGCGGAATACAACAAAGAGCCCCAACTCAGCCCCAATCCAAGCCGAACCGATGATCAGGCCAAGCCAACTGGCGACCTCAACAAATGGAAACACACACGCATACTAACGATGTGACACGGCATTTTAACGGCCACCGCACGGCGCAGCACAGATTAGGAATGTCAATATTAGCTACGGCGAGCAGGACTCGCAGCTAGACTGGGAGCAGGACATGGTATGAGTTATGTGTATATATGTACATATGTATGGCCAGAGTTTGGGCGGGGCCTGGCCCTGGGCCTGCCAAATTTTGACAAATGACGTCAGAAGTGGGCGTAGAGGAACTGTAACTCAGCTGAGGTAGGCGTGCCTCGACGACAGGTTACAAGAAACTGAGCTCGTTCACAGATATCCAGCCAGATAGTCGTCGAAATGTTGTCGAGTACTCGACCGGAACACTTGCAAATGCCAGGCCTGGGCCTGATTACAAAAAGGTGTTGTATTGGGCAGGTCTGTTCAGACAGGCGGCATAAAATGCCCAAAAGCAAAGAAACTTTATTAATGAATGCAATTTAGATGGCAGCATTAAGCCAGAGTGAAAATCGAAAATCAATTCAATTTTGGCCAATCCTTGGGAGCTTGAAGTCTAAGCAGATTGAAGATTTTTAATCAACATTTTTGGCCTGGATTTCGATATGAAAACTCTTGTTTACAAACTAAAATAACCGATATACCAATCTAAGGCCAGCTTTTAAGAAATCGATTGACTCCTGACAAACTTTGGGCAGGTTCTAAAACTTTAGCTACACTCTTCGAACTTCTGAGAAGAGTTTGAAGTCAATAATATATTTTTTTCGATTTGAAATACCAGGTACACGCCAAATATGAAAGAAAAAACATTCTCTATTGACTTTTGACAAGGTTATCTTAATTTTAAGAAAATAAAAGTAATTTACTATGGAATTCCAATTCTAAGAGTCCAAAATTGTCACATAAAATCGAACAGCAAAAATCTAAACAAATTGGCTTTGCAAATTGAATAAGACATTAATCTGAAGGTTAAAATCGTCAAAATCAGTTAAATGGTAGAGAAAGTTCTACAATTTTTCAGGCTAGGCAGAGCTTCGTCTATAATTTGCAAGATTTTTAGACAAAAAGTAATTTGTATTAAGGCATACAAATAAGCAAAAAGGTGTGTCCATATTTAAATGCAGAGTCAATCTAGAGTTTGGCCAAATGGCATTCTTCACAAAAATCGATTTAATTGTGCCAAAATATGGCGTGCATAAAATTCATTAATAATTTCAGATTAAAAGTAGAACTTCATAATATAATATTTCAGATTTATATGCAGAACTAGTCTAGAGAAAAAGTAGAATTAAATATAATTATTTCACATGAAAATCGTGTGATTTTTGACAATCTTATAAAAGTTTTAAGGCCAGGAAACATTTTATTTAAATATTTAAATAAAATAGTTTTGTTTGAGGTTTATTTATGGAATTTTGACATTAAAGTTCTTTAAGAAAACTCCGTTAAAAGATTTAAATGTAAAACATTTGTTTTAGATTTTCTTTCATTTATTTTAATTTAAAATTTGTAGAAAATTGCGATTACATTTTTTTAAATGCAAGTTTCTTTTTGGTTTTCTTCTAGAATTTTTATAGCTGTAAATTTAACCATTCATTTGAAAATTCGTAGAAAAAAGTATTAAGAGATTTAAATGCAAGTTTTTTTGGGTCTGTTCTGTAGTTTTCGTGGAAGCCAAACAATTTTAAAAGTTCTTTTTAATATAAAATATGTAAAACCAAAAAATAGTTTTAAAAGATTTAAGAAAGGCAAGAGTTTATTAAGTATATTCTGGAAGTTTTTGTGGCTAAGGTTGATTTTTATATAAAATTCAAAAAACCTTGTTTTTAGACATATAAATAAATATTTAACAATAGGTTTGTTCTGGAATCTTGTAGCTTAGATTTTTGGCATCATTTAAACAGAAACTACGTAAAAATATGTGTCTTCACAGATTTAAATATATACTCAAAGTTGAGTTTGTTCTGGAATATTTGTGGCTCACATTTATCACATTCTTTGGTAATAAATAAATTTTTGGACAACGATCTCAGTCGTTTGAGTTCTGGCAAAGCTGATAGAGTATGAAATAAGAATACTGCGAAACGAATTGAATCGATTGTACTTCACTTGGTTTACTTTCACATTTGCATTTTCACAGCTCTTTGAGCTTATTTTAGCCAGCATGTTAAATGATATGAATATGGCCCTAAATTACGGCCCAGTTAACCCCGCTGCCTCTTAAAAAGTTGAAGTAAGTAGCTCTATAAACTGGGTTTTAACTGCACAAAGTTAAGCAACTGCGCGTGCAATATTTTGACTCAAATATATAGTTGCTATCATTTCCACCCTCTTAAGCTGCTTTTAATGGCCTGCCAGGTGGGTTGTTATTAACTGTGTATATGGGGGAAATTGGGTAGGAGAGGAGGGGAGCAAGGGTCTGAGGAAATGCCCATCAGCGCTGGCAATCAAGCCAGCAACTGCCATCATCTCCGACG